GCCAGCCTGGGCTACCAAGTGAGCTCCAGGAACGGCACAAAGCTACACAGAGAAACCCTGTCTCGAAAAACCAAAAAAAAAAAAAAAAAAAAAAAAAAACTTTTTTTCTTTTTTAAATTTCAGAAATAAAATTGGCAATAAATATCAGCACCCATAAAACCATTATCTATTATTAAACCAGTGGTTCTCAATCTTCCTAATGCTAGGACCCTTTAATACAGTTCCTTGTGTTGTGGTAGCCCCCAACCATAAAATTATTTTTGTTGCTACTTCATAACTGCAATTTTGCTACTGTTATGAATCTTAAATAAATATTTTTGGAGACAGAGGTTTGTCAAAGAGGTTGCAACCCACAGGTTAGGAACCACTATATTAAAGTATAAACAAAATTTCCCACAAAAAACTGAATCATCTCTTGGCAAATGAATAAAACTGACCCCCAAAGGTGATTGCAGACTGTAAAACCAAGCACATTTACTGGGTAAAGGATAAGAAGCCCCAGGAGGCCTGTCCGACTGAGTAGTAAGAACTTGTATTGACCTTGTCCTTTGAGTGTTTTTTGTTTTGTTTGTTTGTTTAGCCCTGGCTGCTCTGGAACTCTGTGAACCAGGCCAGCCTTGAACTCAAAGACTGGCCTGCCTTTGCCTCTCACGGGATGAGATTAGGGTATGCACCAACAGAGCCCAGCTTTCCTGTGCATGGTTTTTTGGTTTTGTTTTTTTTTTTGTTTTTTGTTTTTTGTTTTTTTGGTTGTTTTTGTTTGTTTCGGTTTTTCAAGACAGGGTTTCTCTGTGTAGCTTTGGAGCCTGTCCTAGAATTCACTCTGTAGCCCAGGCTGGCCTCGAACTCACAGAGATCCACTGCCTCTGCCTCCCAAGTGCTGGGATTAAAGGTGTGCGCCACCACCGCCCAGCCCTGTGCATGTTTTAAACCAGCATCTGTGTTCATTGCTTACCATCTCAGCATCCTTCAGATCACAGGCAGGGTCACAGATAGCTTTTAGGAGTTTCCCCAAATGGCATGTGTGCCAACTGGATTGAAGACAGACCAAAAGATTTATAATTTACTGCACTTACTCGAAAGTTTACACTGGGTAGAAACTCACCGTGCAGGTGGAACACCAGTATGGCCCCCCTTGCCTTTCTCCGGACTTTCTCTTTCATTCTTTCTGGAAGTACCTTGAACACTGCCTTCTTCCTCTTCCTCGGCTTTCTTTTTATGAGACCTTGAATTCAAAATGAACAAAAATAAAGACATTTCCTGAAGCACATCCTCACTTGGGGGACTAACGACATGACTGAACCACAGGGTTCTTCAGTCATATCATCAGATCATACACAGCAACAGCTCCGATGTTAACCATGAGAAAGCCCTCGGGTCAGCTGAGGCATCTGGTAGTGTTTAAGTCAACAAACAGACAGTGGACAGCCTTCCTGACAACTGCAACATCTGTTCCAGGTAGCCAGCTACAAGTAAGTATTGTACCGGCTTCAGCAGCCTCCACTGCAACTGGGAGATCCAAGTGACAATCTCAACGACTAAGATAAAGTTTAAGACGCACCCTCCGGAGAAGGTCTCGCTTTCCTGCGAGAGTGCTAGCCTGCTTCCTTTACAACATCCACTCATGAACATGGATGTAATGTCTAAAGATAGAGCAGTTACCTTCTGATAATGACGCTCAAGCAGAATGAAAAAGCTAAGAAGTAATAGCCAAGGATCAACCAAAGCCCGTGGCAAACTAGTTTTGACTTCTGTGAAGTACAAAAATTATTTAGATACTTTAGAGTATTCCCTTCAGTGAAACATATTCCCAACTAAAAAAAAATAATAAGCTTGAATGCCATATATTCTGGTTGGTCTTTGCCACAGAAGAACACTGGAATCAAACCTGTAAACTAAGATTTGAGCATCTTCCAGAAGGACACAGGTAACAACACCCCTGACCATAGCAGAGCTTAGCAGTTTCCCAGTCTACAGGTACACCAACCACACTGTAGATGGACCCACTGGCCACTTTACTTTATAACTCAAAATTCTCAATTCAGGAGAGAAACCTACCACACAGGTCGGTGGTCTGCAAGGCAAGAGTAAGAAACCTTGACTACTTACAATTTCATTTTTTTGGAAGGTGGGAAGTCTCTAGCAGGAGTGGTACATCTCTTTGCTTTCATCTCAACAAGGTCATGGTTTTTTTCTTTGTGCTCCAAATCCTTCTGAGCAGAGAGTCTAACGGATCTCCTATGGTAGAATCGACACAATTTATCTTAAGATGAATACATTTACTACAGATATACAAATGCTCTTCAAACAGTAAAAGTATGTCAAACTACAAGATCAATAAAATGCTTATTTTATTATCCATTCTCTAGTAATCTAATGGTTGTGAAAATTTGCTATTTCCAACCATAAAATGCTGGTATTCAAATTTGCTGGTGTTTTACAAATTAAACCTCAATAAAACTGACTTTTGGAAACACCAACAAAACAGACTAAATAGGGTTGTGCTATTGTGATCTCAGCACTCAGGAAAGCTACTACAGCAGGATGGCAAGACTTAGCTCAAAAGGAGAAAACTAGAATCAGAACCCTGATTGTGTGGTGGTATGTGCCTTTAATCCCAGGGTTTAAGAGGTAGAGGAGGAGAGAGTTGAGGAGAGAGACTGTCCTGAGATTCCAGGACAATCATAGCTCCACATTGAGAACCTGCCTGAAATTTTAAACAGAGTTAAAAAAAAAATACAAAATATATTTGAATGAGGGCTGGGATGGTTCAGTGGTAAAGACCTGCCTAGCAAGTACAGGGAGCAAAGATCTGGGTTCACTTCCAGAGGGGACATGGGAAGGTTAAGATTAAATAGAAAACACAGGGCAAGGAAAATAGGATTACAACAACACAACAACAAAAAAAGACAGTGACCAGGAAACAAAGCAGTGACAGGTCTAACCAGATTAATAATTATAGTACAGTAGTAAGTACACGCTGACAACATTCCAGTACAATAAAAATTAATGAGACCAGTTATTTTGTTTGGGTGTTTTTTGTTTTAATTGTTGTTGTTTTGTTTTTGAGACAGGATCTCTCTGTGTCGTCCTGGCTGTCCTGGAATTCACTGAGATCCGCCTGGCTCTGCCTCCTGAGTGCTGGGATTAAAGGCGTGAGACAGGGTTGGGGGGGGCGGGGAGGCATGCGCCACCACCTCCAAGCTGGGTTTTTTTTTTTGTTGTTGTTTTTAAAGCAAGATCCCACTAAGTGCCATCTACAAAAACTTAACTTTCTGTGATTGTTTAGTTACTTTAAAAGCTCCACATTATCGTGAAAGGCAGGAATTGGGATGAAGGGGATCAGATGACTCAGTGAGCAGAGAAGCTTGTGTCCAAGCCTGACACCTGGTCTGAGTTCAGGCCCCATGAACCACAAGGTGAAAGGAGAGAACTGATTCCAACTACTGTCCATATGCATGACAGTATACATACATACATACATACATACATACATACATAAACACACACACACTCTATATATATATTATTTATATATATGTAATATTAAACCTTTTTAAAGATTTTTTAATTATTTATTTAGTTTTATTTGCTGTGCGTTGGTGTTTTGCCTGCATATGTCTGTCTGAGGGTGTTGGATCCCCTGGAACCGGAGTTACATACAGCTGTGAGCTGTCATGTGGGTGCTGGGAATTGAACTCATGTCCTCCGGAAGAGCAGCCAGTTCTCTTAACCACTGAGCCATCTCTCCAGCCCCATAATTATAAAATTTTAAATAAGAGCAGGGCATATAACTCCGCAACAGAAAGTATGCTTAGCACAAATGAGACTGCCTCAAACTCTAACGCCACAAAATGTTAAGCATGAATAATAAAAAGCAAAAATAGAATAAAAGTAAAATAGAAAATATATATACAAACCTAACCATGAAAAAGCTTCTGTAATACTAAACAAAGGAAGGTATTTGAAGGCTGAAGAGATGGCTCAGTGGTTAAGAGCACTGGCTGCTCTTGCAGAGGACACAGGTTCAATTCCCAAAACCCACATGAGGACTCACAACTGTCTGCAACTCCAGTTCCAGAAGGTCCGGCCCCCTTCTGACCAGGCGCCAGGAATGCACATGACATACATAAATAAATGCAAGCAAAACACCAGACACATAACATAAAATAATTGAAATTCTTTAAAAAGAGGGAGAAAGGTAATTGACATCAGAAAAACATAACCATTTTATCCATACAAAGCTTTTAAAATCAAACTGACGAGTTTGCATCCTGGCCTTGAGTAACCAAGTATGTATAAGCTCTCACGTATAAACGAACCCTGCAGGCTCGCTCACCCCACAAGCACTGACACACAAGATCTGAGCGTCACTGTACTGTTTGAGCAGGACCAGTAAACCCACACCTTCTGTACCCCACTCTTACCTCTGAGGCTGGACAGGAGTTTTTCCTGACACATTCCCTTCAGCATTCACAGAAGAACAAGCATCTGATGGAACGGAATGTTTCTGAACATTTTCCTTTTCTGTCTCGTTATGGTAAGTGTTGTCAACTAGGAGAGACCAAAAACCTAATTAGACTACTGCACAAGTATCCTAAAATACCCACTTACAAACACATTAAACCTTTAAACCGCTAGAACGCTGGCTGCTCTTCTAGAAGACCTGGGCTTAGATTCCCAGCACCCACGTGGTGACTCACAACTGTCTGTAACTCCAGTTCCAGGGGTTCTGACGCTTTCTTCTGGCCTCTGCAGGCAGGATGTACAGACATATATGCAAGCCAAACACCATCAACGTGAATTAAATGTAAAATTGGAAGGTTTAACTGGAGTTACCCTATAACAGGGGACAGTGCCTCTCCCAGACACCATGAGCCATCAAATAAAAAGCCCAGAGCCACACACATGTTACCTTTTTGCAAGTTTTTGTCAGTGGGTCCCCTATAGACACTGCCCTAAAACAAATTCTAGGTTATTGCCAATGTGCCTTGCTTCCCTCCAGAACTCGACACTGACCACACTTGGGTCACAGAACATGGAGGAAATCAAGTTAGCATCAAACAGGAAGCCCCGGTCCTACTAGCTAGCTTTCCTGGAGCTGAGGCGGTACGTGCACTACCGGGAAGTAGAAACAGTCCTTCTCAGATGTGAGCCCGGCCAGCTGCAGTGCCGAGTGCCCTGGCACGCCCCGCCCACCAGTGCAACAGCGAGGACTGTTAGGAGAGTGACCGGCCACTTTCTGATTGGATCTAAAGCCCACCCAGAAAATGGAATTCACACCTGACACCACTAATAGGTCTCAGAACCTGTGGCTAGGGAGGGCATGGGTCCTTGGGGAGGACAAACTGCTACTATTCTGCAAAGTGGACACAGTATCAAACTGCCCTGAGTACTTATCTTCACACCCATAGGTTAGTGCCTCTCCCAAAACTCAGAGAAGCTTCTTTTGGCTGCAGATGGCAATTAACACAGAGACTCACAACTGGTCAATGTGTAGAGAAAAATAAGACGGTAGTGTTCAGATCTAAACGGGACATCATACCATCGCCTCCAAAGCTCAGGGATCATCAAGGGGGTGGAAATCTTTTAAGAGCCAGAGGAAGTAGAAGACTATAATTAAACAGCACTTATCCAGAAACGACAGGGCAGTTGCACACATTAACTCCTAGTAGCTAGGACTTCACACACAAGACCATGACCAAGATCAAACCAGACAAAATCCAACATGGATGAAGAAGTGGGACATGAAGTCCCACCCTTAGCTGAGCAGCTTTGGCAATTGATGGCTGCTGGGATACAGAGAGTCAGTTTTCTTCAGAAATGCATCCTGAGAGGCTTCCTACCCATGGTCCAGTAGACGGTCCTACACTGATGCACACTGGCAGCACTAAGTGGACTTAGTAGTTTAAAAAGAAAACATGAGCCAGGTGCTGGTGGTGCATGCCTTTAGTTCCAGCACTCAGGAGGCAGAGGCAGGCAGATCTCTGTGAGTTCGAGACCAGCCTGGTCTACAGAGTGAGTTCCAGGACAGCCAGGGCTACACAGAAAAACTCTGTCTCAAGGAGGGGTGGGGGGGAAATCATGTAATTGAGAGAAAATAATGATGGAAGAAGGGATAGAAAAGGAGTTGAAAGGGAGTTAATAGGGAATAAATTTGATTAAATAATATCATATGGGCTGGAGAAATGGCTCAGTGGTTAGTCACATTTGTTGCTCTTTGGGAGGACTTGAGTTCCATCCCCTGTACCAACATAGTGGTTCACAACCATCTGTAACTCCAGTTCCAGGGGTTCGGATGCCCTCTTCTGACCTCTACGGGCACCAGGCATTTAAGTGATACACATACATACATGCAGGCAAGGCGAAACACACACATAAAAAAGCAGATACATTTTAAAAGAAAAGTATGTCTGTATGAATTCAAGCAATAAATATTTTAAATTAATAGCCCCCAAAATGAGGGAAAAAACTAATCAGTACTCAAATCTCAAGAAAAATAAAAAATTATATACATATATACACATACATGTGTATATGAGTATGTGTACATAAGCATGTATGAGTGTGATGATACAGAATTCTAAATTAAAATCATATGTATCCCATACACAAATATTATCATTCCTAAACATGGAAGCCTTAACTCAGGTCAAGTTATGCAGAAGGCCTGCTTATAAAAGCTACTTTGCTTATACATCATATACATGTTATCAAGTTATCACAATGTACCCTATAAACATACAATTATGTTTATCAATTAAAAAACACTTTTTTGGTTGGCCATGGTGACCTAAAAAGGCCAGCCTGAGAGCTACATGAAACCATTTTTTAAAAATTTCATCAGCTAAGGTCTGGGATGCAGCCCAGCAGTAAAGCATTTTCTTACCATATTCAAAGCCCTACATTCAATCACCAGCATAGCAAAAGGTAAAAAGAAAAACAAACAAATGCCAGTTTAAAAAGAAAATCACAAGAATTATACACTAACGTTATTCATGAACCTTGGTGCAAAATCTTTCAAAAACTTAGCACTCAGGACAGCACTATAACTCAGTTACAGCACTTGTCAAGCACACATAAGGTCCTAGACTTAATCCCCAGCACTGGAAAAAAAGTTCAGAAATGAATCCTAAAGGCATATAAAAAGAAAACCACAGTCAGGTATGGTGGTGCCTGTAATGTCAGCAAGAGGCGGAGGCAGGAGGATCACCAGTCTGAGGACAGCCTGACCTCTTCTTAGGAAAAAGAGCAGCACATGGTTGTACGCCCACCATGAGCCAGATTCACCCAGTCACTAACAAACCAAAATTACAGTCTCTGGTGGTGATTCCCTGAGCTCGGCAGCTCTCGTCACGGCAGCCTTGGTTGAGGGTCTTGTCTAAGCTGTTTCTCCTTACCCGCCTTCAACGGTGTGGCACGGCCTTGCGGAAGTTTGGCTTTTCTCAGGGAAGCTTTGCCTTGAAAAAGCTCCCCTAGTCCTTTCTTCCTAAGAAAGCTGTTCTCCAGGTTGGCCTTCTCCTCTGTGAGATCATCAGTGAGGAAGCAAAACAAAGGAGAATCATGCATTAAAATGGGGACTAAAGTCCATTTCCAGCACCTTTTGCAAAAACACAATTCTAGCAGCTACAGGAAAGGGGCGTGCGGTCAGGGACAGACTGCACAATCTATCCCCGAAGCCCTTGCAACCTCCAACAAGGCCTTACAGAAAAGGAGCTGTGGATTCTGTACTCCTTTGCCTTTGTTAAGATACACGGTCAGGGCCACACCAACATTATCTGGCCTTATCTACCACTAAAATACACCACATTCTCCTTGAAGAAAACTGTGGCCACCAGGAACTGTAAGATTACAAGGAACAGATTATAGTCACAGAGCGTGGGGTGTGTGAGTGGAGCAGAGCAAAGCTTTCTCAGAGTTTTATCTTGGATTTTGCTGTGACTAAAGCTGGTACAAAAACAATCTGTCCCAGCATCATCAGGCTGTGTCAAGCTACAGGAGTACAGTGAGCCCCTGAATAACTACACTGTACACATTCTGATTATAGCCATGTTAGAAGATGTGGTAAGATGAAAGAAAACAACAAAGAAATATAAATGAAGGTAGTTTTCTTTCTTTCTTCCTTCCTTCCTTCCTTTCTTTCTTTTTTTTTTTTTTTTTTTTTTTTTTTTTGTGGGGTCTGTCCTGGCTCTCACTCTGTAGACCAGGCTGGCCTCCAACTCACAGAGATCTGCCTGGCTCTGACTCCCAAGTGCTGGGATTAAAGGTATATGCCACAGCCGCCAGGCTTCTAAGGTAGTTTTCTAAGTGACAGCTTTTTTTTTTTTAAAGATTTATTTATTATGTATACAGTGTTCTGCCTACATATATGCTTGCAGGTCAGAAGCGGGCACCAGATCTCATTACAGATGGTTGTGAGCCACCACGTGGTTACTGGGAATTGAACTCAGGTCCTCTGGAGGAGCAGCCAGTGCTCTTAACCGCTGAGCCATCTGTCCAGCCCAAACATTTTTTTTTTCCTTCCAAACTGTATTTAATCGTATTGCCATGCTAATATGCTCTTCCTGTGGATATCGGGAGGGTAAAGAAAAACTTGTAAAAAGAAATCTTCAGACAGTCCTCAGGCCTGCAGTGCTATGGGATGGAGAAGACTGCTCTAGGGCAGCAGGCCAGGCTATCTGCTCTTCCTTCCACCAGAGCCCTCCGCTGAGAGTAACACCGAATACCAGACACCTTCTCATCTGGACTCTGCATTTTAAGTGGTAAGGGCAGCTGCAATAGGGTCATTCTTGTTCCTACCACACACTGATGTCAATGTCTCTTAATGAGGAAGGTGGAGACAAGAGAAAGGATAAAATGAAGAAGCCTCATCAACAATTGGACTCACATATCATCCCAAAGTTGTATCAAACTACAACTACCAGCTGGGGGCTGTCGAGATGGCTGCATGGTTAAGAGCACTTGCTGCTCTTGCAGAAAAAACGAAAACTCAGTTCACAGCATCCGTGCCAGGCAGCCCACAAATTAGGCTCTATGACCTTGGGCCCCCTCACCTGGCCTCCATGGGTACTGCACTCATTCACATACAGACATACACAGAAATACAAACAAAATTTTAAAAAAACAAAAACCAAAAACCATCTTGGCCTAGTTTTAGGTTTGCACCACATCACAGGACTCTAATCTGTTTGTGGATTAGGTTGTTGGTACCATAACATCTCCATTTAAAAACTATTTGGGAGGTGGAGTGGTAGTGCATAACATTAATCCCACCACTTAGAAGTAGAAGCAGCCAGATCTGTGTGAGTTCAAGGCCAGCCTGGTCTACAGAGCTAGTTTCAGGACAGCCAGGGCTACACAGACAAACCCTGTCTTGAAAAACAAAATCAAAACAAACAAACAACTAGTCTGGAGTGATTGCTCGGTGGTAGAGTGTATAACTCTCTTCAGAAGACATGAGTTAGGTTTTCAGAACCACATCAGGCGATTCACAATTGCCTGTAATTCCAGTTCCAAAGGATCCAACACCTCTGATTTTGGTAGGCAAATGCACTCAAGTACACAAACCCAAAGCAGATTGACATCATTAAACATTTTTTTTAAAACACACACAAAAATAATTTGGGGGCTGGGGATGTAGCTCAAGTTGGTGGAGTGCTTGCCTACCATACACAAGTATTTAAATGCAGTCCCAAGCAATGCATAAGCTGGGAGTGGTGGTATATTCCAATAACTTTAGCACTACAGGGATTGAAACAGAATGGGAAGTTCAAGATCATCCTCAGATATATGACACCATGACTAAAAAAAAAAAAAAAAAAAAAAAAATTGAAATTAAAAAATGAATTGAGACTCAATTTCCAGCATGAGGGAGGTAAAGCCTCGGAGCTGGAGACCATAAGCCAGATTTGACTCTGTCTCCAAAACCTAAAAAGCCGGAGGCTTGAGAGATTTCAACAAGCCAGGCACAATCTAATCAAAAGGAGATCTCTTGAGCACAAGAATTCAAAGCTAGCCTCAGATACATAGACACAGTAAGACTGATCTCAAAAACAATGTAAATTAAATAAAATAAAAGGGCAACATGGGATTTTTGTGATTTTTAGAATATTCATCATCTTGATTGAAATGCAAGCTACATGAACCTACACAGGTGAGATGTAGTGGGTAGCTGTTCTAGCCACGACCTTGAAGCACTGCCCTTAGTGAGGCGCAGGTAACTGCTACACCTGCCTCTGACCTTTAAGTACCTGCCCCTGGGGCATGGTTGCTGGGTACCCTTAAGACCTTGGATGCACATACAGGGACCTCTCTTCGCCTCCTTGTGGTTTTGGATGCTGAGATCTTGGACCAGGCAAATCAGTGTGGGACATAGCTCAGCTTTCCTGGACCCTACAATAAATCTCCCATGGTAGTGAGTTAACCCCCAAATACATTCCTTTGTTCATTAAACAGACTCTGCTGATTTCTCCCCCACATTGGGCACCAGATAATGGGAGAAATCCATAGAGTCTGCTGAGTCCAAACTGGGCTGCTGGCTATGTAGTGAAATAGTGCCTCAAAAGAGAGAGAGAGAAAGAGAGAGAGAGAGAGAGAGAGAGAGAGAGAGAGAAGAGAAGAGAAGAGAAGAGAAGAGAAGAGAAGAGAAGAGAAGAGAAGAGAAGAGAAGAGAAGAGAAGAGAAGAAAAGAAAAGATACTCGGGAGGCAGAGGCAGGCAGATCTCTTTGAGTTCGAGGCCAGTCTGGGCTACAGAGCGAGTTCCAGGAAAGGCTCCAAGCTACACAGAGAAACCCTGTCTTGAAAAATCTAAAAAAAGAAAAGAAAGAAAGAAAGAAAAAGAAGAGAAAAGGAGGGCAGGAGAGTAGAAAGGAAGACTGGAGGGTTTAGCAGCACACACACTAAAATTGGAATGATACAGAAAAGATCAGCATGGCCCCTGCGCAAGGATGACAGGCAAATCTGTGAAGTATACCATATCTTTTTTTTCCTCTTGTTTTTGTGGAACTGTATTGTAAACCTAAATTATCAGTAAAGATGATGTTTTCATCTTTAAAAAAAAAAGAAAATGAAAGAAAAGCTAGGCGTGGTAGTTCACACCTGCAATGCCAAGGCTAAATAAAGCAGGAAGACCACCAAGAGTTCTAGACCACTCTGGGCTACAGTGTGAGACCTGATCTCAAAAAACCTCATTTTACATTATCAACAGACTTATGTAGTTGAAAAGTTCACCTTTTTTTTCTTTTTTTAAATCTAAATCATGGGTTAGAAGGTGTGTAATGGTGTGGAAAAGACTGCATAGATGCATAGTCTAAGCTGGGCGGTGGCGGCGTACACCTTTAGACCCAATACAGGAGGCAGAAGCAGGTGGATCTCTCGGGTTTGAGGCCAGCCTGGTCCACAGAGTGAGTTCTAAAACAGCCAGAGCTACATGGAAAAAACCTGTCTGGAAAAACCTTAAAAAAAAAAAAAAAAAACTTAAATAAAGAAAGAGAGAAAGAAAGGGGGGCAAGAAAAGAAGAGAGGAGAGGAGAGGAGAGAAAAAGACAGAATAGTCTAGTTACTTTTTTGCAGTCTCTTGCTTCATCTCATTGATTTATTTTTTTTATTTTTTATTTTATTTTTTTTGTTTGTTTGTTTGTTTTTCGAGACAGGGTTTCTCTATGTATCTTTGCGCCTTTCCTGGAACTCACTTGGTAGCCCAGGCTGGCCTCAAACTCACAGAGATCCGCCTGGCTCTGCCTCCCGAATGCTGGGATTAAAGGCGTGTGCCACCACCGCCCGGCTCATTGATTTATTTTTATGTGTATGGGTGTTTTGCACACACATGTCTATGCACCACGTGCATGCCTGGAGCTTCTGGTGACCTGAAGAGGGGATCGGATCCCCTGGGACTGGAGCCATTGACAGCTCTCAGCTACCGTAGTGGGTTTTGGGAAGAACAGCCAATGCTCCCAACTGCTAAGCCATCTCTCCAACCCTTTTAACTCTTGAAATGTCCCCAGGGCAAAACGAGACACTAATCCTTAAAATGGCAGAGAAAGTAGCAACTTACCAAACCACGAGTCTACATTTTCAGTATCTTCTTCGGCGTCCAAAGATGAAAAGTTGATGAAGTTGGTGGGGGCATCAAAGGAGTAAGTAGTTGTAACTTGTGACATTGCCCCCACTTAGCGCAGGAGAAGCTTTTCCCAGGATTCTAACACTCTACTCAAGAGATCGACTTCTGAGGAGAGAAATGTTATAAGAAAGTGGCTGTATATCAGTCAATATCAAGCATCGATCCCTACTACTTTGGTTTTACATTTCCAATTTTGAAAGCCATCTAGGGGGCTGCAGAGATGGCTCAGTGGTTAAGAGCACTGACTGCTTTTCCAGTGCTCTTCCAGAGGAGCTGGGCTCAATTCCCAGCACCCACACGGCAGCTCACAACTGTCTAACTCCAAGATCTAACACCCTCACACAGACAATACATGCAGGCAAAACAACAATGTACATAAAATAAAAATAAATAAATTATTTTTTTAAAAAAAAGGAGGAAAATCATCTGAAACTGGGCATGGCGGTACAGGCCTTTTAATTCCAGCACTTAGGAGGCAGAGGCAGGAGAACTTCTCTGAGTTTGAGACTAGCCTGATCTACATAATAAATTCCAGGTCAGCCAGGGATACAGTAAGTGAGATCCTGTCTCAAAACGTGCGCGCACGCACACACACACACACACACACAAAGGAAAAGTATCTGGAAAATATACTCTACTTTGTCAAATCACCTTCAAAGTTACTTGCCTGGGAGATCATTTGTTTTTAGAATTGGAAAGAAGCCAGTTTGGGGCTGTTGAAAGGATTCAATGGGTGAAGAAGGTACCTTCCACCAAGCCTGATGACCTAGTATGATCCCTAAAAGCCACAGGGTGGCAAAAGAGAAAACTGCCTCCTGCAAGCTGTCCTCTGACCTCCACAGGCATGCCATGGCGTGCATGCACACCCAAACAGATAAATGAACCAGCTTTGTTTTCTGTTTTAAAGAAAAGGCTCAGTTTGATGAGTACCTACAATCTGCCATTTACTGCTGGGTGTTGCACTCATTATTAATTTTCCCTCAGCCTGTCATTTTCTTCTTTCTAAGCCTTTCTCCACCTATGTTTTCACTGTGTGCCTGATAACCTAATTTCTAAGACACATCTTTAACTTTTACACCTATGGACAAAAATCGTTACCCAAGTCCAACTACATCTCTAGGAAATGCTATGCAAAGTACTCAAACCACAGTGCTAGCCTAGCTTTAGCTCCTCTAGAACAATGAGCATCCAACTTTCTATCAGTTAACTCCATAAACGCTTCTTTCTCCTGGTCCACTGCAGGACAAACGCCCGTCTAAGTTGTACATCGGGGTGCTTAGCAGAGGGCCATACGCATAGTTTTGCCAAGTACTAGTTTTCATTCCTCAGGAATATTTTAAGAAAACTCTATTTCTGGGCTGAAGGCGTAGCTCAGGGGTAGAAAGCAAATTCAGCATGCATGAGGGTATGGGTTTGATCTAACACAGAGGGAGAAAAACAAAACGTAATTCCCTAGGCATGAAGAAAACGACTTAATACACATCAAAGCCGTAACATGCCTAAGCCAAAGAACAAGTCAACAATACAGACCTCCCCCCCACGCCAACAAAACTCTGCATTCCACTGTGTACAAACGTAGTAAGTTTAACCCTCCCATTCCAGTTCTATCTAGTAACAAAATAGCTGAAAGCAGTCTGAAAAATAGCCTAGAGGCCAGACCCACTGACAAATAATTGCCAATGAATCCCAGTGAGCTGTTGAGACAGGCCATCAGGGCACAAAGCCTGTAAATTCCAGCACTCAGAAGAGAGAGGCAGGAAAACTCTAGACGAGCTACAGTCCAGTCTGGTATACACAGCAAACTCTGAGCCAACAAGGACTATACAGCAAGACCCCATCTCAAAAGGAGAAATGTTGTTATCTTGGAGGAAAGTAGATACCTATAATATTTACATAAAAGTTATCCCCTCTTGGGACTGGTGGGATGGCTTAGTGTAAAGGCATGTGCTACCACACCTGGCAATCTATGCTCTCCATTCCTGGTATCACATGAAAGAGGAGATCTGACCCCTGTAAGCGGTCCTCTGACCCTCATATATGTATCATAGCACACACATACACACAGACACAAATATTTTTTTAAAAACCTTTCTTTAAGCTGAGTGTGGTGAAGCATGCTTTTATCAAAGCACAGAAGACAGAAGCAAGTAATCTCTGAGTCTAGCCTGGTCTACTTACTGAGTTCCAGGCCATGCCAGAGCTATAGAGGGAGACCTGGTCTCAGGAAAACAAAAAACAACAAAAAACAAAAGCCTTTCTTTAAACTCCTATAAAAACTAATTAAAAATTCATGCTCAGTGAGCATGGTGGCACATGTCTTTAGTCCCAGCACTGGGGAGGCAGAGCCAGGCAAATCTCTGTGAGTTTGAGACCAATCTGGTCTACAGAGCAAGTTCCAGGAAGCCAAGAATTTTACACAGGGAAACCCTGTCGAGAGAGAGAGAGAGAGAGAGAGAGAGAGAGAGAGAGAGAGAGAGAGAGAGAGAGAGAAGAAAGAAAGTTCATGCTCATTTAACCCAAAAAAAACTTTTATAAAAATTGAACCAATCCGGGCGGTGGTGGCGCACACCTTTAATCCCAGCACTCATAGGGAGGCAGAGCCAGGCAGATCTCTGTGAGTTCGAGGCCAGCCTGGGCTACCAAGTGAGTTCCAGGAAAGGTGCAAAGCTACACAGAGAAACCCTGTCTCAAAAAACAAAAAAAAAAAAAAAAAAAAAAAATTGAACCAGAGCCAGGTGTAGTGGCACACACATGTAATCTCAGCACTTAGGAGGTAGAGGCCAAGGCTAGTCTGCACTGTGGAATAACTCTACTGTACACTGTGGAAATGTGTTGCTCTCATTGTTAATAAAAAGCTGATTGGCTGATAGCTAGGCAGGATTTTCAGGACAGAGAGAATGCTGGGAAGAAGAGCAGAGTCTGAGGAGTCTCGAGACAGACTGGGAAGAAGCAACGTGGGAAGTTCATTGCTGAAGTAAACAAGCCTCAGGGCATCACATAGATTAATGGACATGGGTTAATGTAAATTGTAAGAGCTGACTGGAGACAAGCCTAAGCTATTGGCCAAGCATTTATAATTAATATTAAGTCTCTTTTTGATTATTTGGGAGCAAATGCCAGGATGCAGGGAAACTCCACCTACAAGTCTAGACTACGTAAGATCCTGTTTCAAAATACAAACACATACACACACACACACACACACACACACACACACACACACACACACACACAGCAAGGTCTAGTAGCTTATACCTAGAATCTTACTACCCAGGAGGCAAAGGCAGGAGGACTTACTACAAGTTCAAAGCCAGCCTGGTCTACATACACACAAGTTCTAGGGCTACATAGTGAGCAAACCAACATTACAGTCATACAGCTGCAATCCCGCCAGGTGGTGGCGCGCGCCTTTAATCTCAGCACTCAGGAGGCAGAGGCAGGCGGATCTCTGTGAGTTTGAGGCCAGCCTGGTCTACAGAGCAAGATCAAGGATAGACACCAAAACTACACAGAGAAACGCTGTCTCAAAAAACAAAACAAACAAACAAAAAAAGCTACAATCCTAGCACATTTTGAATCTGTTTCACATATTCTACACATACTCCATGGCAAATTTGAGCATATACCATCACTTAATGATATATAAAATTATTTATATTCCATTTTTAGAATTTCCCCAATATTTTCACTTTAAAAGTACTTCTAGAAGAACATTTTTATAGCTAATATTCTGTACATATTTGTTACTTTTTCTCTAAAATATTTTTTATGAGGTAAAAATGAGACAAGGGATGTGAAAATACTCCTCAGAAGAGGAGAGGAGTGTGCCAGGTCCCCAACCCCATCACCACCAACTCTATGCACTGGCAACTTGCATATTGGAGGTCTCTAAACTACACCACAGCCACCATACACTGAGCTCAGTCACCAACCTTCATTACTGCCCAGTGCTTTGGCCAGCATTTACTTAGCTTCTCAGTGACCTGAGTAATGAGGAAAGTATTTCTGAGTTTTATAGTGTCTCAGAAATAATTGTTATAACAAATAACAGCCAGGCGGTGGTGGCACACGCCTTTAATCCCAGCACTTAGGAAGCAGAGGCAGGCAGATCTCTGTGAGTTTGAAGACAGCCAGGGTTACATAGTGAGAACCTGTCTAGAAAATAAATAACAGGGATTTTTTTGTTTGATTTTGTTTGTGGAGACAGGCTCTCTCTGTGTAGCCCTGGCTGTCCTGGAACTCGATTTGTAGACCAAACTGGCCTCAAACTCACAGAGCCTCTGCCTCCTGAGTTCTGGAGTTAAAGTGTGTGCCATCACCGCCTGGCCAAAGAACAGATTTCTACAGTGCCATCATCATACACACCACTCAACTTCTCCCCATGAACGCATTATGGCTTTAACTCTTCATAGCAACATCCTAGTTGAAGACTTAGTGTAGAAACACCATACTCTGGAATTGGAAAGAACCGTAGGTAACATCTGACTTTTGCAGTTTATAGATAACAATTCATTAAAAACAAGGGTTTGCCAAAAACCATGACAACACTTAAAACAGTGGCTAAAAACAAACAAACACCGGAATACAGCTACCAGAGATGCCAGGTTGTATTAAGTACTAAATCTTTATTGTTTCTAATGCTCATTTACAACCTTGTAAAGCATCATGTACACTCCTCCCGCTGGAAGAGGAAGCTAAGGATCAGACTAACTACTCAGTACCAGCCATGTCAAGAAGGGCTGGCTCCGGGCTGCAGCACACCCTCTGACACCCTCACCTACTGTGGGAATCAGCGGTGCTGGGAGGGTCAGGTCTCATCGGCCTGTAAGCTGGCTCCTGACCTGTTCTCCAGGGTCTTTGGACTGGGAGAAGGCTCTCTACTCTGCCACTGGAAACTTTCCACTCTCCTTCACTTCCACTTTCATTAGTGGTTGCCTCATTTTGTTGATCTTGTTATTTTTGTTGCTGTTTTGTTTTTGTTTTAAGACAGGGTCTCACTCTGTAACCCTGGCTTGCCTGGAACTTGATCTGTACAACAGGCTGGCCTCAACAATTTATCAGTTAGCCTCTGCCTCCAGAGTGCTGGGATTAAAGGCGTGCAACAC